CTCTCTCTCTCTCTCTCTCTCTCTCTCTCTCTCTACTCTGCACTCCCCGATGCGGGCAGTCCATCGCCGCGCATCCACACAGAGTTCTCACCCCGCTTGGTTCGAGCATGCAAGCCAGGTTAGCCCGTGCGCCACAGTCCGTCGCGGCCCGCACGTCAACCCCGCATACCCGACACCAGCTCGTCGGATCGCCCAACTCTCTCGTCGACTCACCTCTCAAGCTAACTCGTTAGCCGACCCTCACTAATCGCGCTAACTCCAAAGTTCATAGAGAGCAAACTAATCGCGCTTGCCAAATTTATAGCATGCATGCTTGCGCGAAAGACACGGGATTAAGCCCAAGTGGTCAAGAGGAGAAGAGAGGAAGTGCCTACGTCTGCATGGCCAGGCCGCGGTGTGGGGGTCGTAGCCGCACTCCACGCATCGATCCGGTCGTACATGCGTTCAGGCCCATTAGAACAAAGTATTAAGCATGCAAGACAAAGAAGAATAAGGCGGGCAAACACGAGAAAATCAAGAAAGAAGGAAGATACAGTTACAATTGTGCCTGCCAAAAACGACAGTTAGTGTCAGTTATACAAGATTAAGGGCGCGATCCAGTTAGAGACCCAGTTCCTAACTTCCTAGCGCTGCAATAGCGCAACAAGGTGTGCGCGAGTGAGCGGCGCGGCGCAACCCCGTGGGGGCTCAACATCAGTTGAAAATTAAAAAAAATGACATTCCCGCGTGATGATCGCACCAAAAATTCCTAGTGCTCATAGCAGAATAAGAAAGAAGTCATGGCAACCATTGTCCATCACGCTTGTTAAGGCGCGGTTACCCAATCGTCAGCGCGGGACTCTCCCGACACCGACCCGACAGATCCCCACAGAAAACAAAAAGAAACGAGGGTACCCATGCATCTTCCCCAACCGACCCATCTTTCCACGACTCACCCATCCGACCCGTCCTGTTTCTCCAAGGCGGCTTCGCGCAGAGAGTCGCGCGATTACAGAAAATGGTTCGTCACAACACACTCTCACCCCGAAATCCCACGACGGCCATCTTCTCAGGCCAGTAGTTCCCCACGACCGCTCTGTTACCATCATGGCAGCCCTTATCGTTGCCCACATTGTTGTTATTGGCTTAATTGTCGCTGTTATTGTTGTTGTTGTTGTTATCGGTGTTGTTGTTCATGTCGTTGTTGCTGTTGTTGTTGAGGTTGTTGTTGTTGTAGTTGTTGTTGTTGCAGATGTTGTTGATGTCGTCGCCATAATAATTGCCTTTGTTTGTACGGTGATCGTTGCGCCTACTGCAGCCGCAGCCGTCATCCCTACCTCCCCCACCCACTCGCCCACCTCCACAAGGGCATACTCCCTCTCGTCAATACCATGCTGAGGGTGAGGCTCCCCCACCTACTCGCCCACCTCCACAAGGGCGTACTACCTCTCATCAATACCCTGCTGAGGGTGAGGGTTGACGTCAGCACCAGGAGTTATTGCCTTTGTTGTTGTTGATGTTGTTGTTGATGTTGTTGTTGTAGTTATTGTTGTTGTTGTCGGTGTCGTTACTGCAATCACTATCGTGTAGTCTGTCACCGTCGCAACTGCTGCCGCCCTTTCCATCAGCCCCGACTCTATGTCGCACCCACCAGCATCACCAAGGGCATATTCCCAATCGCCGCCCTGATAATCACTTTCAGATTCGTCCTCGTCACATACTGGACTGATAGTTGCATAGCAGTCAACGACGTCATCATCATCCAGCTCACCAATTCGCACTCCTCACATGTATTACTGCAGCGTTAGTTGCATAATATCCGATGACGTGTTCTTCCTCCCGCTCACCATCATCGATTACCCCATCCTCGTAGACTGCGCAGATATTTGCGAAGTAATCGACCACATCCTCCTCTTGCCTACCATCCTCTTCATGCCAAACGGCGTCATCAGTGTCAACAGGTGTTTCTCCATCCACGTAGACCGCACAAACGTTTGCGAAGTAATTGGCCACGTCCTCCTCATTGTGTCAAAAGGCGTTTCTCCATCCGCTATGTGCCAAACATCGTCATCAGTGCCAAAAGGCGTTTCTCCGTGTTGTAGCACCCCCACCAGCTCCATCGCAAACCCAGATAGCTGTGCCCCTATGCGTTTCCTCATCAACTTCACGGCTGGCGCTACCCCTGCCCGCGCATCACGGTCGTTCGTCACCAACAGCAGATGCCACATGGCCAATCAAGGAGCCATGTGCATCTGCCGGGCGCACAGGCCTAGCAGCCGAGGAGCTCCTCTCCCCAGACACTAGTCTAGCCGGGAGGACCGGGCCTTACCGGCCCACCGGCATCAGGGCGCTAGCGCTGCATTCTCTTATCCTCTCACTCCTGACCGTCTTCTCACCCTCATAATGGCTCCAACTGGTGCTCTAACTACTGATCTACATCAACTCGACCGAACGTTTGCCAGTAATCCAGCGGTCTAGCTTAATTTGTTAGGCACGCAAGTGGCATTCAGGAGGTCGTGGGTTCAAACCCCTAGCACGCTCAGTACAACCGACTAAGAAATAGTCAGCTCGGTCCCTGTCGGTATTATTAATAAGGTCTTCAGCCAACACGGGTGTGAGTGCACGTCTCAGTGGGTTGCTTGTGGTGTGTGGGAGAGTACAACTGTCACCCTATGGGGGCGGGAAAAGATGGAAAGGTAGGGCCGTTTTTTTCCCTTCTTCATGCAGAGATTTCAATAACCTGACGGGAACAAAAAAACCCCTCTGGAGTGCTCTCAAATTCCTTCTCCCACGGGCCCCCAGGCGGCTGAGATTTGGGACACGAGAAGTGCAGTCGGCCAGCCAATCATCTGCCAATGTGACCGACCGCGAAAGTGGCGCCAAAAAGAATTGAGAATTTGGAAAGTGTAATCGGCCAACCAATGTGACCGCGAAAGTGGCACAAGAAAATTTTGAGAATTTGGGATTTCAGGTCCCCGTGTAAGTATGCCCTCCGCGTGCTCTGACGTGGAGGGGGAAAGCAAGCCACCTTTGCTCCAGGTAAGCAGACAGCAATGCAGCGATATCTCACTGGCGGTTCGTCATTGCTCTAATCTCTCTCTCTCTCTCCACACACACACACACACACAGACAAAGCCGTCTTTTCTTTTGGTTGGCTGCGCTGGAGCGCAGGTAGCCGTACCGTAATATGTAGTCCGTAGCTCTCTCTCTTGCTCTCTCTCTCTCTCTCTCTCTCTCTCTCTCTCACACACGCACACACACACACAGAGCCGTCTTTTCTTTTGGTTGGCGGCGCTGGAGGGCAGGTAGCTGTACCGTAATATGTAGTCCGTAGCCCACCCTTCTTCCCCCCGAACACAACGCACCGGGTCCCTCATTTTGGCTGTACGGACCGGGAAGGTAGCTTGTATACATCGGTTATCAGGGTGCCTTGTGTTATGGGCAAAAGCACTCCCATCCTTACTTACTTACCACCGACTCCGTTTTCGACCATATCTCTCTCTCTCTTTTTCCGTTTTTTTTTGTTTTTTTTTTGAAGCTTCGAGGCAGGGACGTCCCTAAGGGGAGGTGATAAGAGCATCCCTTCCAATTTTTTTTTTAATTTTTTTTTAGGTCCATGGTGTTGTAGAGGCCAGTCACTGAGTAGACAGTGATCACCTGGAGCAGTAGGCCGTGGGTGTCCTGGAATATGAGACCACCTCCCATCCCATCCTCACGTCAATACTCCTAGCGCACCCCCTATGCCACTATCCTATGGAAGGCTCCCTCTATTAGTGGGGAGCTGCACTTGGGCTGGAAACCAGGTCCAGCGTGCCTGCCTGTATGGTACAATGCTAATTGGAGACTACAAAATTCCGCGTTGAAAAGTGAGCGAAAGGTCCTTCGGGACATCCGTAAGAATTGGAATGATACAATTTTTTTTATTTTTATTTTTTTTTTGGGGGGGGGAGAAAGACGCAGCCAGTCTCGTATGATCCAGGCAGTCCGGCCAGGTTCATACAACGGCTGCTTCAAATTATACAGCCCGGAAAACGGGTCCGGCTTCCCCTACATCGTAACCGTAAAGAGATTGCATAATAGACTGTTTCCTTAGCCATAACCACGACCTCCGCAGGGGATAGAGAGATTTTTTTTATTTTTTTTCCCCCCCAAAGCTATGTTCTTCTCTCAATTTCACCTCACACTACCTACCTACCACTTCTCCTAATTAATTGTAGGCATAGGGGGAACCCCGTAGCAGCCAGAACAGTGTTCACGAGAGAACATGCGGCATCAGAGGGGCTGCTCCCGACCTGCAGGTGGGCGATACCGGGTAGGGGACAGCCGGTAGCATCAGGGACCATGCCAACTCAGGACCAATCCTGAATCCCTGTGCCTCCCCTCAGGTGGTGGTCCCCACCCCTACGAACATCAGCAGACTCTGCTCAATGCCGATCGGGCGATCCAGTGGGCTATCTCTAGGTGGCGGGCGCCAAGCATGCCTAGAACAAAAAAAAAAAAAAAAAAAAAAAACAAGTGAGCCAAAGCAAGGATGCAGGATGAAATAGGGAGACGGTTGCCCTGATCTCTCGCATGGCTACTGTTTGTTTATTGATTTATTTATTTATAAAAAGGGCGACGGTCTTGAGATATCATCATAGAACCAGATCATATGAACCGACAGTCTGTAGAGTTTTCCATCTGGTGTGGGTGAGTGATAGTCTACTTTGATTTTGGTTAAGGTAGATTATCATAGACCTGTCTCTTATACACATCTAGATGTGTATAAGAGACAGGTATTAACCGAGCCAGAAAACGGGTCTGGCGTCGCTCACATAAAGGCAGAGGATAAAGTATGATCCAGACAGATGACGCAATCCACTGCATATGTATGATACACCCACAACAGCTACAATGAGAGGCCAAAAATAGAAAAAGCCAGATCCGGAAGAACAACCAGCGTGAAGTCGCACGTACTAGACGTGTACACACAGGCAACAAACAGCAAATTCTTCTCTCGTCTATCTCATCTTCTTGCAAGTACTCATCTATCTCATCCTCTCGCTAGTCGGCGTCGCCGCACGGGACACGAAACGAAAAACAATCCGAGTGCATCTTCCTGCAGAAAATGGCCAGGTTCATCGGTTTGCTATAAATAGTAACGAGTGTATTTTGCCAACTTTCATGGACAGATGCACTCGTGTCGTTTCCGTTTCGTGTCCTGTGCGGCGAGACCCTATGTCTATGTCAACCAACCCGGATCTCTCCCTGGTAGCCCACGGGTTGACCAGGCCTACCCTTCTTCCCGCGAATACAACGTACGGTCAGTATAGCTGTATTTGGGGTACCTTTCAGTCTACATACAGCGATAATGACCGTACGTTATATTCGGGGGAAGAAGGGAGGTAACTCATAATTGTAGTATTTTCACTCATCTGCTTCTTTCGGAGTTCGAACTAGGGTCTGTATTTTCTTTTTTTTTTCTCTTTTTTTTGGCGGGTCTGTTTGTTTGTTTGTTTGTTTTTTTTTTTTTTTTTTTTTTTTTCCCTTCAAATTCAATCTCATTCCAAAATAACATCAGAGGCCGGGGACCTCTACATTACACCCGGATGCAAGTATCTGGAAACATCATCCAGCTTAGCTTACAGGCTGTGCCTGCGGGTCTTTTTTCAACCCAGCAGCTCTAAGGCTGCAGATTCTAATTCTACCTCTAAAGTTCCTATCCCTGCCAATCCTAAATCTACTTTTACAGTTTCAATTCTGCTCTAGGGACTACTAGAGCCCACCTCTTCCCTACCTCGACTACAATGACTATCTACTCCTACACTCCCTATTTCGGCTATAAATGCTACAATCGTCTCTCTACATTAGCGGTCTAAAACAACCATCCCACTCTCTAGCCAAAAAGGCCCTAAGACAGGCCCTGGAGTCTACCACGACACCTGCTAAATATCACACTCTTTCCATCCCCGGAGTGTCCACCAACTGCCCTCCTCCTGCGGASTAARAACCGASTGTGCAGGTCATCCTCCGGCCTATCGGCGGCCGTTTGTAAGTGGACTCTAAGATGAGTCCGTCATTGTCTGATGCTCCGACCACAGACTCAAGAATCCGTCACTGCCCTTCTACTGCGAAGATTCGGACCGAGCACCCAGGTCCTGTTTTCACCAGGACCAACTTCCCATCCTTAACTGCTACTGAGCCATACCCCCAGGACCAACTTCCCATCCTTAACTACTGCCAGTTCATCACTTCTGGCCCAGTTTTCGCGAAACCAAGTCATCCCTCCGAGTTTGTTATGAGATTTCGTCACCTTCCTGCGCCAGTCACTTTGTATCTCCAAACTCACCAGACGTTTGACTCTGCTTTTCAGCGCCTGATCAGAGGTGAACTTGTTTTTAAAGACAATACTGTTTCTCTCTTCCCAAATGACCTCAAAGATAACCGCTCTGCACACCTGAGCTATGTAACACCAGTTCCTCTCTGGTGGATTCTCCCCCAAATGAACCCCAAAAAGAATCCAATCGTCGTCCCAAGTCAGACTGTTTCCACTAATCCTTGCCCAATGGGATTGCCACCAGGCCCAGATACGCTTAGATAGAGGGCAAGACAGCCACAGATGTACTGTTGACTCGAATGGCCATTTACAGCGTTTACAGACCAAGGTAATATTCATTCCCCTACTATGTAACCAGACAGCTGAAGGGGTTGCAAGTAGTGATAGAAGCCAGAGGATGGCGGTTGTTCGTTGAGAAGGGATTTGCAGGATCACCTCCCACAAGATCGGAATGATACTCGCCAGCTCCTCCGGTTCCTTCCCAATTACCTGAGTCCAGCGTTGTACGGCTGTGACCACTGGAGGGGAGGACACTTGAAGCTCTCTGTAGCCTCTTTGAGAGGAATACTCCGATAGCCAGCTCTGTGGATTTTGCCATCTCCACATTGCTGGGTCCRATCTGAGTTTCCTAATGGGGGTACCCTCCTTCCAGACATAACAGGTCCAAGCACCGTCCTCGGCGCAGGCTTCTCGTACTCTCACTTGCGTGAGTCGGCCCAGCGGATGTGGACTTCGCCCAGTGGGCGATTCCTCATCCTCCTTTTCTACCTCGAATAGTTCTGGACATGATAAACTAAGTTTTTCCCACTGCTGGAATGATCTGGTGCCCTCTGCGTCTATACCAACGAGTAGTTCTGGACATGATAAAC